AAAAGAAGCTGTCTGGAATGCAGTATGCAACTTAATTTCTGATCTGCTGACTTTAAATTCTGAAGTCCATTGGAAATGTGTGTATGGCTTGTTAGGCAAAGTGACTACTTTTCTCAAAGTTGGATTTTTTTTCAGGACAACCAAGAAAAAACTACCAAGCTCTGAGAGTTTTTAAAACACACTCCTTGGGAGTTTTGCATTCAGTGGTACAGTGTGTACTTAACCTGTGTGAGGCCCTGAGTTTAATTGCACCAAAAATAAAAACAAATATACATACATATTAGCTACTAAAAATTTCCAGTTAATATATTTACTGTATATATAATGTCTTCTGGATTTTTACCTGTGAAATTTTCATACAATAATTTAAGTAGAGTGTTAAACAAGTCAGAAAACCTGAGTTGAGCTGAAACTGCACCCCAGCTCTATGATCACATCTACCAGAGCAGAACATCTGGACTTTACTAAGAAAATAAGTTTCCTACCACAAAAAGTGCCTTTGAAAGTACTAGGAAGATTCCTCCTGAGGCCATTAATGTGTCAGTAAAACTTCCTGACAGTATTTTTCAGCAGTAAATCTTTGCAGTCATAATCTTATGAATGAGAACTTTATTAAAGACTTCAAGATTTTTATTGCCCATATTTTTACTTTACAATTTTTATTGTTTTGGCAGGAACTTCAAGCCAAAGGAAATGCATTTCTGAAGTCTGAATAACATCGCATTAGTTGTTACCTAGTAAAAACACTTATATAAGAAAAAGAATTTTCTGCTTTTTAATGTATTATCAGAGCACATTCTCTTACTACTAATAATCTCCAGAGATGGAGTATTACAGATAAATACTAAATTCTTCCTAATTTTCAAGTCATGATAATTCAGTAACTACTATTTATAATTGAATTAAACATTCCTCTTGTGTAACTACTTTTTATTGTTGTCCTACTTGTGAATACGTAATTTCTGCCATCAGATCCATATGTAAGATATAGCTATGACTACAAGTGCAGAGGAAATTATTGATGCAGGTATGGCAGTGTGATGGTCTGGCTCAAATCCCAGCTTTGCTGTGTAATTGCTGTACAAAGTTGAACAAAGTACACAAGCTCTCTGAGCACTGGGCACAAAGGTTGTGCTAATGGAAAATGCAACTCTAAAACATAAATATGGGTTTCTAAGCACCATTTCCTGGGGGAAAAGGGGACCAAAGCTCCCAGGGAACTGGCTGGTTTGGGTTTGCAGTGCTGGGATACGGTGGCATGCTCTCATAATCCCAGTACTCAGAAGGCTGAGGCAACAGGATTGCCACAAGTTCCAGGCCAGCCTGGGTTACACAGTGAGTTCAAAACCAGCTTGAAATAAATAGCAAGACCCTGTCTCAAAAAGCAAAATAAAATAATTTTTAAAACAGCTAAAAACAATCAGCAAATGCAAAGAGCAAACCCATACTGGATCTCAATTTGGAGAAGAAAACAGCTATAAAAGCATCCTTAATGCAAGTCATACATTTTGAAATATAGAGCACGAATATGATAGTAGACTATTATTAGTTATCAGTTACTGTGTAACACATTTGCCCAACCTTAGTGCCTTAAAACAAGCATCTATTGTTGCAGTTTCTAGGGGTCAGGAACCCGGCCAAGGCTTCACTGTATGGCCATGGGTCGTGATCTCTGCTGAGAGTACAGTCAGCCGTTGCCTGGAGACACAGTCATCCCCAGGCTGGAATGAAGGATGATTTCCTGGCCAGCTCACTCACGTGGTGGCTGACTGGCCTCAGGTCCTTGAAATTAGGCCTCATAATAGGCTGCGTGAGTGTCCCTACCACGTGGAAGCTGGAGTGTCTTTCCGCAGGGCCACCTCACAGCATGGCAATGGGCTTCCTCAAGCACAAGTGACTAGAGAGATTGAGACAATGCATCTACAAAGAAGCCACAGACTGTAGCCTGACCTCAGGTGTGCCGCCCCAGTACCTCTAACATATTCTATTCACTAGAAGTCACTAATTCTACACTCAAGAGAAAGAAATTAAACTCTACTTCTCAAGAAGAGGAGAATCAGACTGTGTATGCTCGTGAAAGAGTAGTCAGGAATTAGACATGATGTTTGCAACCTATTTTCAAATGGTTTTGCAGATGCATCTGTGTGTGCGCATCTGTGTGCTTGTGTGCAAGTGTGGGGAAGGCACACGGAAAAATGCTAACAAATGTTGTTTCTGGAACGATGAAGATGGACATTCATCGTCTTAGTCCTTCACTCTCTGTTTACATTTGAAACTTTTTCATAAGAAAAAGACAGAAAGATAATTGAGACTTGCTATGGACCAAATTGTTTTCCTCCAAAACTCATACATGATGGTGTTTGGAGGAGGGGCCTTTGGGAAGTGATTTGATTTAGAGGAGGTTGTCAGGGTATGGTCATGATGAGATTAGTGCCCTCCTAAGAGGAGACAATGGAGAGCTTGATCTCTCCCTCTCTCCCTCTCCCTCTCCCTCTCTATCTCTCTCTCTTTCTCTCTCTCTCTCTCTCTCTCTCTCACTCTCTCTCTCACACACACACATTCTCTCTCTCTCTCTCTCTCTCTCTCTCTCTCTCTCTCTCTCACACACACACACACACACACACACACACATGCATGCACACACATAAGAAGATAGCCATTTGCTACCTGGGGAGAGGACCTTCATCAAAACCCAACAGTGCCAGTACCTTGACCTTGGATTTCCAGCCTCCAGAACTGTGGAGGACAAATAAATACCTTTTGTCCAAGCCCTGCAGGCTGCAGGACTTGACTTGGTTTGGTGTGAGACACTAAGGAGCAAACCCAGACCCTCACATATGCTGCACAAGCAGTCTACCACTAAGCCACACCATGGGCAACTCTGCGGCAGCACGAGCTAAGACAAGATGTTGATGGCAATGATGGCCTCTGCTCTTTCCTAGAAAGCCAGTGGAAGAGGATTTGTTGCTGCTGGGCAATGGGAGAAATAGATATCACTGTCATTGTGTGGGTGGCTGTCACGCCACAGTGGTGTCACTGTAGACAGGGAAGGCCCAAGGAAGACAGCTCCTCACACACACCAACTCCACACCAGCCCGTCAGCCTGGGAGCCCCTGGGCCTTCACCTTTCAGGGAGTCTCTTCTGGACGAGCACCAGTCCTTACCTAATCGTGAACCCCATCTCCTTACCAGGACTATTTGCTCTTCTCCTGTGGGGTTTTAGTGACCGATTGCACTGGCTCAGTTTGATTTTGGAAGTGGATTGCTAGTATTAAATCCAATATTAGTCCAATAATTTGTCACAAAATTTTAAAAACATGATTAATAGCTATATAGTATTGAAAATACAGTGTTTATTTTCATACTCAAATTCTAGCTAACTTGAAAAGATCAGGCAACTCATTGTGTTTTTTAAAAAGTTTAGAACTACGTTGCTTCTTTTTGTAAATATCCCTCTACTTCTAGAATTTTTTTTACATTGGTATTGAACCGAGAGCCTTTGCACCAAACTTCATCCCAAGCCCCATCCCATCCCTTGTACACTTTTTTTTTTTTTTTTTTTTTTTTTTTTGTACTGGGGATCAAACTTGGAACCTTGCATTTCCCAGGCAGACGGCAGAGCCAATGAGTTAATTCCCTGGCCCATCCCTTTTTTAAAAATAGTTGAGACACTTGCCTCACAAGCACAAGTACCCAAATTCAATCCCCAGTACCCCCCTCCACAAAAAAAGTAGTTGAGATAAGATTGTGCTAAGTCACCCATTTGCCCAGGCTAGGCTCAAACTTGAGATCCTCCTACCTCAGCCTCCCAGAGCACCAGATTATAGGTGGGTGCTACAACATTCAGCTTAGAGTTTTGTTTTCCATGACTCATAACACATGAACAAATGCATGAAATTTCTCATAGTGGCCTTACTGATAATAGTGTGTACTCTATTGCCATCGATTAAAAATAAATACAAATAAGATATATTATATGTAGCAAACAAATCTCTTTTTATGCATATACATACATAGAATATTTCCAGAAATTGCAACAACTTTCCTCTGGAGAGAACCAGGAGGCTGAGGAGAAGGGTAGGGAGAAGAGCTTGTACTGAACATCTTTTTTTATACATTTAGAATTTCCTATGATGTAAATGTATTCTATTTGTTCAAAACATAAAACTTAAAATTTTAAGACAAATTTTAAAACTATCTTTAAATCTGACTAAATTTAGCCATCTTCCTTACAAATTCTTTACTCTTAAGTATTTTGTATTTGGTTTTTTTTTTTCCAATTAAAAAGGAAAAACATAGCCAAGTATAGTGGCATAAACCTGTAATCTCAGCATTCTGGGAGGCTGAGGCTGGAAGAATACAGGTTTTCACAAAAATTTAATTTTTTTTTTTTAAGATGGGATCTCACTATGTAGTTCAAGCTGGCCTTGAACTCACTATGTGGCCCAAGCTGACATTGAACTTAAAGCAATCCTCCTGCCTCAGCTTTCTGAGTGCTAGGACTATAGGCATATGCCACTGTGCTAGGCTTCAAAATTTTAAATTAGCCAGGCATGGTGGCCCACGCCTGTAATCCCAGCACTCAGGAGGCCGAGGCAGGAGGATCGCTGTGAGTTGAGGACCAGCCTGGGCTACAGAGTGAGTTCCAGGTCAGTCTCAACTACATAGTGAGACCCTGTCTCAAAAAACCAAAAAAAAAAAAATTTTTTTTAAATTAAAAAAAGGACTGGGCATGTAGCTCAGTGCAAAGGCCTGGATTCAACCCCCAGTACTGTGCAAAGAAAAAAAAAGGATAAAATGATATGTATCCAACAGCCCTCATCCCAGCTGCCCCACACCGCCTGCTGAGAGCAGCCCTTTGAAACTGTCGTGTGTGTCTCTAGTACACTCCTCCTGAATCCATTTTTCCATTCCTGCTTCTTGAACCTGATCCCAGGCACATGTGAGTGCACACACATGCACACACACATGTACACATGCTCACTTTTCCCGGGCTGTACCTGGTTCAGCTTGTTCTTCTCTTCTGCCCAGGAGGAAGCTTTGCTCTGTCCTCTGTTGACTTCAGACGCCAGCCTCATGATCGTTTCTCTGTTAGCTTTTGCCTCCATCTCATGGACATTTATAGTCTCTCCAAGACTAGCAATTTGTCCTTTCATGAATGCGTTTTCCCTGCACAGCTCTCGAAGCTGAAGAGAAACCCATCACAGCTGTCTTATAAAAATGAACGACCCCATGCACTGTCACTAAGCAACTAGCAGTCCGTACCCAGTGGCTGCACAACCATACACAGTGTTGTGTGCACGAGGGGCACACTTGTCAGAAGGGGCCTCTACACTCAGGGGTCGGGCGAGGCCAGTGGCAGGTGCCCCCAAAGCTGCCCATACCACCAGCCGCCCGCAGCTCCCGCTGCTCCGCAGAGGTGGATGTAGGCACTGGGGGCTTCACCAGCCCACGTCCAGGCAATTTCTGTCTGTGGGGGAGACAGACGGGGCTCCCGCTTTCTTAAAAGTACCCTTCTGACTAACATAAGCAAAGGAAGACTCTGCCTAAGCTGCTCAAACAGTGGCTGTCACTGGGGCCTGGATTAGCAGGGTTCTTCTGCTTCCTGTGCCACACATCAGCATTGCAAACTGAGAACATTTACAAGATTTAGGAGGAGACGATCAAAGCAGGCAGGTTCCTGACAAGAGAGCACTAGCACAGCGACAGCAAGCTCTCCCTGTGCAGCCATGCCGACGCCGGCGGACCTCATTGGTCGTCGGCCTGAGCCAGCATCGCACACCTCTCCTTTCCATCTCAGGAATGCTTTCTTGTCCATCATGGATCCTACGTGCGTGCGTGTGTGTGTGTGTGTGTGTGTGTGTGTGTGTGTGTGTGTAAGCAAGTGTAAAAGTGAAGAATAACTTTGAGATGGGAGAAATTTTGTTCCTCCTCTCAGCTGAACACTGTATGAGGCTGTGGTCCCGATCAAAACACCAGACTTCCTGCTCTGGGGCAATATTTTTTAAAGAGAAGCACCTGCTCAGGCAGAGTCATGAGACAGTCAGGTCCAGCATAGCAACAGGGCTCAGGCAGAAACTGGGCCCTTACGCTACGCACTAAACGCACGATCTGTGTTTTCTTGATCTTTCTTGATCTCTGACAGTCAAAGATTTCAAAGCTGTTTTTGCTGTGAACCAGAACTCCTCACTTGAGCCTGCAGATGAGCCTTGACCTTCATTTTGTACCCTTTGTTACTGTAAATCTCGGGTTGACTCCTCAGCCCAGCATAGTGGAATGTGGATCACTTAGGAAGTGTCCATCTGGTAGCTGCCAGACAGGGCTGATCAGCCCCCTGCAATGAGGACCCCACGATAAGATGCCTACAGGGCCACTGAGCCACACCCCAAAGCCACCAGCCGTTGTCCTAAACCTATAGTCACCTGGATTCTGGGAAAGACTGAGCCCTTCATGACTGAGTCTACTACAGATGGAGACAACCTTTCCTAGAAACAGGACTACCCCTCTGCCATCAAGATTCCAGAAACAGGACACCAGACTGAGACCATGAACAGCCAGACCCAGTTTACCAGCTAATCCTCCAAAATTGGTCTCCTGCCTCTAGCGACAGGCAGTCTGAACCCCCGTATGTGGCCCTGACAGCCACATCATCTGGAGTACTTTCCTAACTTTCAGTGAAAGCTTGTTGGGGGGGGTCTCCCTTGTTGTGGGAGGGTCTCCCTATACAGTTCAGACTGGCCTTGAACTCACTATGTAGCGGTGTCGAGCTGTCCTCCAACTCACAGCAATCCTCCTGCCTCAGTGCTGGGATTACTGGTGTGCACCACCACTTTCGTGTTAATTTTCATGTCTACTAAAACAGGGACCCACATTAGCAAGTGACAAAAAGAGTCCAGAATCCCACTATGTGTTCTGAAAATATAAGTCCCGTATTATTCTGACATAGTGAATCCAACAGATCAGGAAACCATTGCTACTGAAAAGATAGTTCATTGCTCCTAGTTCAAAAGAAGACGACAAGACCGGCCATGCCAGACAGGGCCACTTGGAGAAACCCTAAAGCCCGTCAGGAGGCAGAGGGGGCAGGGAGAACTGTGGGCCAGAAGCTCTACTGTGATGGAAGGGCCATGGCCCAGCACTCAGCAGATGGGCATAGTAAGGCAGGCTGCTGTGAATGGTCTCCTGACTCGGTAGAGGGATCCTCCATGCTGTCTGGTATCTGGCCGGAGTGATAAGAAAAGAGAGCCAGTGACCAGGAACCCAAGAGCCACACACCATGGCTTCGTCTGCTTATGAAAGCTGTGCTCGCTGAGTCCTTCACTGTCTCCAGGACCGGGCTGACTCTGGGAGGGGCAGTCTCTCCTGGGCCCCCGGATGGCTAAGCATGAGGAGCACAGAAAGTGAAGGGTTCGCACAGCATTAACCCCGAGACTGGTACATCTTTGCAGGGATCTTAATAAATCACTATGGGCTAAGTGAATTATTCAGCTGATTTCATTAACTTTCATTTTATTGATAATCACCATTAAAATAGGATTTTTATTATTTGGCTTTAATGTAAAATTTAAAAGTGTTTCAGAGCTAATCTTTTGTTTTGTTTTATTTTCTGTTTCTTTTATTTGTTTGTTTGTCTGTTTTTGAGACAAGGTCTCACTGTATAGTTCAGGTTGGCCCTGAACTCACTATTGCAGCCCAGGCTAGCCTCAAATTCAAAATAATCCTCTTGCTTCTGCCTCCCGAGTTCTGGGATTAGAGACATGCACTACTACACCTGGCTTCAGAGCTAATCTTAACCTTATACCAAATAAGTATAATTGACACAAGCCGTGTGTGTGTGTGTGTGTGTGTGTGTGTGTCTGTGTGTCTGTAACTAAAAGAAAAAAACTGCCCTAAAATATAGCATTGATAAATAATTAATTGTATGTGCCAACCTGAATATATTTTAGCCAAAATAACTCTTTCTGGAGACTAACTGATCCCAAATAACACTAGGAAGGATCTTGGATTAAGTCTCAGATCAGACAAATTATCGCTCCATTTGGGCCACTGTCTTGGTCTCCTGCCACCAGTGACTGCACCACAGCACATCCCTCCATGGTCGTGTCAGAATGACACTGTATTCACGTCCTTTTAACCTGCACACAACACCTTTAAAATGAGATCTTCATCTGATGCCTTCTGGTCCTTCTGGTCTGGATCCAGGCAGTCCCAGAGCTGAGTTAGAAAGTCAGCATGCTTCCGGCAGTGCTCCAAGACTTGCTTCTTACTCTCCTCACTTTCCTTTGCACACTTTCTACAGGGCAATAACAAGGAGTCGGGGTTTAATGCCAATGCACAGGCTACTCATCAAACCAGTGTAGAAATTAAGCAGAAAAGCATTCTGGGGCCCTGTGCTTTATCCTCATGGTATCCTGAACCTAGCAACAGGAGGGGAGATTCTTTACCTATTTTCCTCAGCCTGTTGGGACCTGGGTCACACCTGGGCCCTTTCTGTGCATGGTCACAGTCCACACAGCTGTGGCTCACATGGGGAAGGAGGGTCCCGTTGCTTTCTAGAGGACCAAGCTCCACTTTATTTTGAAACATTACACAGTGGTCTATAAAGGACCTGGTTCGTAGCCAAGTGAAATTATAACAACACACAGAAGACAAGGATGTTCCAATCTCAGGCAAAAAGAGGTGTTCCCCTGCCAGTAAAAACCACCCAGAATCTTTAAAGAGTACTGGAATTGCCAATCAAGGAAAATCAAGGTTTTTTTTTTTGGACTGTTCTGAATATTTTATTTCAACTCTCAGGTTTGTTGAAATACTGTTTTCAATACTTTAAATGTTAAAAACTAAGATATCATCAAAAAATAGACATAATTGAAAGGCAATTAGAATCATTTCAGTAATTTGGTATCACTTTTTTCAATACCATAAATAATAAACATGATTATTGCTTTCCCTTTTGACCATGTTGAGTGTTTACTGCAAATTTTTTCACTCTTTTCAAAAATTAACAAAGCTCATAATTGCATATACTCATAAGCTTATCAAATTTCCATTTTGTAAAAAGTGTAACAAGCTCGGTGTGGTGGCACATGTCTATAACTGCAGCTATGTAGGAGGCTGAGACAGGAGGATCACAAGTTCAAGGCCAGCTGGGCAACTTAACAAGACTCTATCTCAAAATAAAAATAAAAAGGGCTTATGATGTAGTTCAGTGGTAAAGTACTTCCTCAGCATGCATGAGGCCCTGGGCTCAAATTCCAGTGCTTAATTTTTAAGGAGAATAATAATAATGGACTAATATTAATATATTTGTGACTTCTTGCTTATAGCACATGAAAGGTCAAATTTATTTGGTCTTTGGGGCTCAGGAAAGGCCCAGTTAATGCTATAGCTCTGATTGATTTGCATAAAGGATCCCATATACTAACTCCAGGATTCCAGTCTTCTTCTTTACCAAGGTATCTGCTAAACTATGTCCACACCTTCTTGCTTGTCACCTGACTCAACGAAGTTATAGGAACCTACCCTTGAGATATAATCACATAAGTGTGAAAATATAAGTGCACCTGGGCATTATGCTTTGTCATACGTGTTTAATGGAATGAACCTGTGTGTACAGAAAGAGCAAAAGAATTGGTTGAGTTGATTAAGATATTTCAGACAATGAAATATAATGGGCCATTAAAAATTATAAACTGAAGGGTCAGGAATTTAGCTCAGTGGTGCCACCACCAGCCTTGCAAACACAACATATATATATATATAATATATATATATATTATCTACAACATATTCAGTAAAATTAATACATTACATAACATTATTTGGGTAAAACTACCTAAAAATCTGTTCAAAACTGATCATTATAGCTGTTCTATAGTAAGGTTGTGGATCAATTTTAACTTCCTGGAGACACTTCTTTTGTATTTAAAAATTGCAATAAGTATATATCATGTTCATTAATCATTTATTTGGCAAAGACTTACTGAGCACCTACTATGCCCTAGGCCTCATTAAAGATGGTAAAGAGACAATGGTAAACAAAACAAATAAAAATCCTTGCCCTCATGAGCTTGTGCTCTAGTTGGAAAGATGACTACAATGGTTAAGCTTGATTGTGAACTTGACTGGCTTAAGGGACAAGTAGGAGATTATTAAAGCATACTTCTGGTGTGTCTGGGAGGTCACAGGGACATGGCTCTGGGACTACATCTGGTCCCTGGTCCCTTCTTCTCTGGCTCTGGCTCTGCCTCTGCTTCCTGGATGCCATGAGTTGCATGGCTTCCCTCTGTCACACCCTTCCACCATGTTTCTGCCTTAGAGCCAGCTGACCATGGTCTGCAACCTCTGAAATCATGAGCCAGAAGAAACCCTTTCTCCTTAAAGTCATGAATATTGGGTATTTTGTCTCAGCAATGGGAAAGCTGACCAATATAAAGCTGACAATGATCAAAAGGTTAGTACATGTAAAACATACAGCATGTTATAAAGGACTGAAAAGATTAAACAGGAAAAAGGATAAGAAATATTGAGAGGGATAAAATTTTAGATGTGGTTCTCTTCAAGGCCTCAGTCAGAAGGTGCCTCTGAGTGAAGACCTAAGGGAAGCAGGGACACCATGCAACATCTGGGAAGAACCCTTCCCAGAAGAGGGACTAGCAGGTACAAAGGCCCTGAGGTTCAAGAAACAACAAAGAAACTAGCTATCTGGAATGAAAAAAAAATAAGGGAGAAAAAGCTAAAAAAAAAAAAAAAAATTAGGATGAACCATTTAGATCATAGAAAATCCTATGCCTGTACTCTAAGTGAGAATACAAGTCACCGGAGGGCTCTGATCTGAGATTTACATGATCTAATTTGTTTTCTAACAGGATTTCTCTGGCTGCAGAGGGTAAAGGTGAAAGCAAGAAAATCACTACCATGGACCAAATGTTTCTTTTCCCCCAGAATTCATATGCGAGAGTCAACTGCCTTTGGATCACTCCTAAAGTTGTGAGACCAAATGATGTAAAAAGAGAAGAGAGTCAGAGACTGGGCCCTGAGCCACTCCAGTGACTGGAAGTCAAGGGAATGAGAAAAACAGTGAAAGAAACTAGCTAGACAGGAAGCTCCAGACTAGTCCTGTGCCATGACCTAGAAATCAACAGAAGAAAGTGGTCCAAGGAGAGAGATCACTGTGTCTGATGCCTGGTGGGCCAGGTAAAATGAGAAGGGCCATATACCGGGCACTGTGCAGCACAGGTGAGCTTAATGAGCTGTTCTCGCAGAGCACATAAAGGAGAAAGGAGAGAAGCTGGAAAAAGGGAGCTCATACGAACAGTTGAGGAGCAGGGCAGGCACCAGGAATGTTGGTTTATTTTAGGATAAGTGAAGTAAACATCACTATTTATTAAGAAATATATTTAAGTCATAGATCGAATTTTAATACATATTTGAGGAGCTACCAGTTCCCAATTTTGTCTCTATAATCGGCCCTTGTCAGAACTAAGTGGGAAAAACCTGGGCTCCATGAATTTCTGCCTAAAATGACAATAAAACCTGATGAGGAATGTTCAGAGTGGGCTGACATCCAGGTATTTTTATAACTGACTTGTGAACAAATGCATCCCTCTGTGGGCTGCCCTGCCACTTCAGGATTAAACCTCTTTCTAGAGGAAATCCTCGAATTATGTATGTAATATGCATTTGCAAGCCCTAATCCCTAGGACATAGCCACACTCAGGACAATTCTATGTGTGCTGCAATGCTTGATGGTGCTGAGAAATGAGGCCCGGGAATGTTTTCAAGCCTCCAAAGATAACGGAGGTCGATAGGCTTTTTTTCCAACTTGACTTTTATGGTTGAATAATGCAAAGCATTCAAAGTATATGCAAAGACATAGCTCACATGTTTCAGAAGCCAGTGTAACTGCCAACTAAACCAAGAAACATATTACAGTATTGTCTTAGTTACTTTTCTCCCCTTGCTGAGTCAAAATACCCAACACCCAGAGTTAAAAGGGGAAAGGCTTATTTAGCTTACAGTTAGTAGAGATTTCAGTCCATAATCAGCCAGCTCCAAGGTAGGTGGTGTGGCAAACAGGCTTCGCAGAGGAGAAACAGATCAAGCAAGGGACAAGACAAGCCTCTTTCTGTCCCCTTATACTGTATCCAGGCTACAAGGATTAGGGAGGTGCCAAACCAATCAGTGGACTGATTTAGTAATCACACGCCCTTATTCCTAGTGCCCTTCATCCGAGCACTGCACCATGAATTAGTCACACACTCTAGATCCAGCCACCTCTGAAAAAGCCCCACCTGTGCTGATGAGGCTTTGGGGGACATCTAGACACGAGCTGTAACAAGTATTCTTACTGTAATTTTTCATCTAGTTCTGCAACTGTCCTCACTAATTCCTGGTTCTCCTTGATTGCAGTGTGAGCTGTGATTTCTGTCCTGATTTTAGAAGTGGAAAGTGCTGCTGACTCTTCTTCGAGTTCCTGCACTCTGTCTCTCAAAGAGGCAAGGAGAGATGATTTTCTGGCATTGTTTTCTTTGAAGCTCTCCATGTCAGCCTTCAGCTCTTGGCAGAAAACTTCTTTAGAAAGCATCTTGGAGCGAAGTTCCTGAAGCTAACATGAAAAGAAACGAAAGAAAAGGAAGAAGGAATTTAACAGTGTACCATTTGGATTACTTTTAAAAAACTCAAAATCATAATTTAAAATCTCAACTTTTATTCATGACTTAATCCACTCTATTTTCTTTTCTCATATTTGTATGTGTTACCAAGCAAGAAATTTTGGCTTAAGAGTGGGCTTCATTTTCTGTATTTTTCAAAACCAATTAAGCAATGTCTTGGGGTGATTTAGTCTCACTCAGGAAATATTTGTGATGGGTATTACAAAAAGCAATAAAATATTTTGCAGTGGCAATGCATTTCCTATATCAGTATTACTGCTTATTCAATGAATGATTCAAGGAAAGGACAAGCCACACTGTTTGTCATTTCTTGGCCACCACTGTTTCTCAAGTAAATACAAAATATTCAATCTATTACTATATTTGAAGGGACCATAACTGTGGGGGACAAAGAAAAATCACAGTCAGATTTCTGGGAAAAATAAAAGAGCAAAGGAAAACCCCTAGAGCATTTATCCAAAGGAAACATTTTTACTTTTATAGCTCCTGTGGCAGTTTCACCTTTGGGAGTCATCATTCAGTGAGGACCTGGCAACCTCAGGGACTCTGCTAGTTACCGCCCAGACCAGTCTAGACTCCGGGGACCACGGAACTGTGAGCACAGCGAGTCTAGGCAGACTCCCGAGACTCCCGCACAGGTCCGATATAGCCAGGGTGAGGTGAACCACATCTTACTAGAATTTCCTAAGCCACCCAGAAGCCTCACAGAAGAGGAATTCAGATTTCCCTCCTAACAGCTCCCAATTGCAATCAAGCCTCATTAAGGAAGATATTCCCAGGGAAGCTGGACGTTCCCCAACGCCCATTTAGCGCCAACCCAAAGTCCTCAGGGGACCTGGATCACTCAAGGCTTCAGAATCTCTCGGAGACCTAAAATTCAGGCCAGCGCCGCCCCCACACACACGCATACACTCACATACTGCTTTCTAGCAGGCATTGGAGAGAAGATGCACACAAAAAGAGAGTAAATATAAACTTGCCCAAACTGGATCCTACCATCCCATTTATAATCCGCTAGGCTCTGCTTCACTCTACAAGATGCTACAAAGACCCAGTTTTCATAGTGAAGATACACGACCTCACCTCAGACTGAGCACGTTCAAATTTGACCAAAGTTGCAGCAAGTTCACTTCGAACATTTTCAGCCACATGCCGGTAGTGACTTAATTGCTCCCGAGTGACCGGGACTTCCAAGAGATGATCATAAGTTTCCTGGTAGAGTTCCCCCAAGAGAAAAAATATAAAGAATGTTAAAAACTCATTTCTGGGCAGCTATGGGTGGACTTAGAAGTACTGTATTTCAAATATGTTGGAAATGCTACCCAGAAATGTACTGTGTTTGGACCATTTCCTTCTTGTTCTCAAACTTCAGAGAGAGCTGGGAGGCAGCCTAGGAACTAGGCCTCCTCAAGAGGGTGGTGGTAAGATGTGGCATTGGAGAGGTAGCCTTCGCCAACCTGGGCAGCACAGCAAGACTCTGTCTATCAGGAGAAAAATAAGAGGCTAAAAGCATAGCTTTTCAAGAGCATGAATGAGGTCCTGAATTCGGAAGAGGATGGGAGAGGAAATAAAAGAAAACAGAAAGGGAGAAAGGAAGGAAGGAAGGGAAGAAGGAAACGAGGGAGAAAGGGAGGGGCAAGGAGAGACAGAGATTGGTCCTTGCCACCTATTAAATGTTCTTCAAGTAACTCAAACGCTATCTGACCTCTGCCCAGGATTTGAAAAAATCAATAACTGTCAGAAAGGGGAGAATGCCACAATCTGTGTAACTACAAGACAGTCTTCATTCTTCTGTCTCCAGACTGTGAAGGCGATTCACAACTTCCTTGTCTCGTTCGTTCTTCAGAGTGATTGACTGTGAAACGCTCTCTCCTTCCCCGTGATGCAAACAACCTTTCACTCAATCTCTCCTTCTCTCCTGGGGCCTTAGCAGAGATTCGGGAAAAGCAAGAGATCAGAGACAGTGGAGTTGCAGGGAATACCCCCACCCCCATGTAAGGGATCAGCTCTCAGCTCCACCGATAGTTGCTACTGCAAAAATATGGATTCCCACAGGGTGAGATGCTGCACACCTGTGATTCTTGCATTCAGGAGGCTGAAGCAGGAAGATCACTGAGAGTTCAAGGCCAGCCTGAGCTACATAGTGAATTGAAGGCCAATTTGAATAAATAAATAAGTAAATAAAATAAATAAGGATTCCGACCTGGCAAAATCATTCCAATTTTTCAAGATATGCCATATATCCAGAATTCTTGAAGAAAAATTTTCCAGTTTTTGAAGCTTGACAACTCAAAGTGCTTTCTAAACACATGAACTAAAAAAATAAAATATGAGCCAAGTGAACCCACCCGCAGAGCAGGTGGGGACAACACAGATGACCGCTGCTCTCTCCTGCCCTATCCCTGCTCCCCTCAAGTCTTATTCCTTATCCTGGACAGGACCCACACCCACCTCTGTGAAGGCTCCGGCACTGTAGTCTTTGTGAAAGATAAACAAGAAAACCACTCATTTTTGAGGGACTATGAAAGAGGTTGTATAAGGAGAATTTCCTAAAGTACCTCAGTGATCTTGGGGGACACAGCGGAAAAACCATGGCTGACAACCAGAGGCTGCTCCACGGCCAGCAGCTGCTCCATGGCCAGCAACTACTGCTTGAAACACTCGGGAGTGTGAAAGTCAGCAGAAAGCCCACAAGTGACAACAAGCATTGCAGTCTCAAAAATGCCAGACAAAACCTCAGGGCACTGAATAGCAACCAGTGCTGGTCAATCACAGCATATCTGAGGTGGATGTGTCCTCTAGGGGAGAAAGCCTGACGAGTCTGAGGCATCTGTGGCACAGCTGTGTCCCGTGACACCTCCAGAGTCAGAAAGGCTTCTGCACCTCAACCACCATAGCCACACTTCCTAAGTGAGGCCATGGGAGGACGCTGGTCACGTAGGAGCATTTCAACCCCACCATTTTATAAAACCCAATAGGTGGCACTTAGGAGGCTGAGGCAGGAGGATCATTGTGAGTTTGAGGCCAGGTTGGGCTACATAGTGAGACCCTAAAAAAAAATCCATTACAGGGACTGGGGATTTAGCTCAGTGGTGCCGCTGCCTGCCTCACAGGCGCAAGATCCTGAGTTCATCCCCCGTACCAAAAAAAAAAAAGCAACAACAAAAAAACCCACTAGGAAACTGTGTTCCCTAATGATGATTATGATGATTTCTTTCAATAACATCTTTTTTTTTTTAGGAAATGATGTAGTGATACCATTATTTTCTATCTACTTCTAATGGAAGATAGTGTATCCAATGGATATATTATTAATAGCCAGAAAAGACAGTTGAGAAATGGCCCCTCACTTTATGAAGTTACAGTCTAAAGCAAAACTACCCAAATCATTAGCATCTTCAAATGTTCATGGGGGATAGAGCTATATATTAATATATGGGACTGGGATGTAGTTCAGTGGCAGAGTACTTGCCTAACATGAGTGAGTCCCTGGGTTTGATGCTCAGCACCACAAATAAAATACATAAACAGTTGTAGATACCCTCTGACCCAGCAATCCAGCTAGCCAATGACCTCCCCTCGTGTCTTAGTTACTTTTCCCATTGTTGAGACAAAACACCCGACATTCAAAGTTAAAGGAGGAAAGGTTTATTTAGCTCACGGTTTACAGAGGGTTCCATCTATAAACAGCTGGCTCCAAAGCAGGGCGGCAGATGGCACCTGGCAGAGTGGCAACAGTTCATGGCGGGCCAAAGGTAGCAAAGCAGCAAGAGAGCGAAGGAAGGACCCTCAACAGTGCCCTTCACCCCTTTTATTTACACAGACTGCTTAGGGCGGGTAGCAGTCACACCCTCAATCCCAGGATTCACTGCACCAGGAATCACTTCCAGAAGAGGTCCCACCTATGACCGCATGAGGCATTAGGGGGACATCTAAGCACGAGCCATAACAACACAAAGAGACTTTCGAGGATATTCACCACCCCATAACTTATAATAGCAAAAAGAGGATGGGATTATTGCATCAATGTGAATTCCTGCTGATAGTCACTAAAGCCATTTCCAACCTATTCAACAAAGAGGTAGTATGAGGCGGCTATCTACTTTGGGTCCACAATTCATTACTGACAAAACCAAGTAATTAATAGGCCTATAATTTTTTAATTGAGTTTATTGGTACATTGTAGGTATACAGTACAATTACAATCATTATTGGGATCTTGTACCTTTACTTGACAGGTCTTTGTTCTCATTTTTTCCCCTTGTCCCTGCCCTCCCTTCACCCCCTAGGCCTATAGTCGTCTTTATAAAATGCACACAGCTGGGGAAATGCCACTCTGTGCACAGTAATTCCTACAACATATTTAGAGACAAAAGGAGAAGGGTGAAGGAATCTCCGTCACCTTCTAACACACATACGTACCTTGGGTGCAGGAGGGGATCATGGTATCGAAGCTGGGGTAGGGGAGCCATGGTTTCATTTTTTTCAAAAAGGATGTATTTATGCATTGTCTGTACAATTAAATACAGTTTAGAGGCAAAAATACTAGAAAGGAAATGCTAACTGTGGTTATCTTTTAGTAATAGGGCTAAATTTTATTTTCATCTTTATTATAAATTTCCACATTTTCCAAATCCTTCACAGTGGCACATACTACTTTCATAAACAGAATTAACATCCTTTCTTAAATTTAAAAAGGGGCCAGCACAGATAAAAGGGCTCCAACCTTGCTATAAAATGTGTTTATGAGGAACACGCTGACAAAGAAACAGCCGTAGGTGACACAGACTACACACACGGGAGATCTGACATTTCGGGAGCTCTTCTTCATTAAGGCTTCCTGTAGTTTGTAACATTTTTTGAAAATTCTTCAACTTTTCCTGTAAGTATTAAACAATCTTCACTTCTTTTTTTTTCTACCCTCTTCAGAATGGCAACATAAGAACGCTTTCATTTGGCCCCACGTGAGGACAATCCAAGTTATTAGGTACGTCTCAGCTAGCCTGTGGAGCAATTTTACATTAATTTTAGAGAGCCAACTACGTATGATTTGATTCTGCTGCTGATATTATGATAATGATTGAAATTGCCTCATGGGGTGGCTCATAGTCTTTTCAGAGTAAATGATGGCTTCAAAGTTCAGTAGCATAAGGCAAAGATAAGCTTATTCCTAATTTAATACACAATACGCCCAATTACCTGACCCATGTGGGTGATGTCTCAGACCAGTCTTACTACTACGGTATTCAGTTGTCTTATTATCCCATGGGGGGAAAAAAAAGAAAAGACAATGACAAAGAAGAAAATCACTGGCTGCGTCTGACATACAAAAGCTTCTAAACCTATTCCATTATCATCTTGTCCCAGGTCTGCTCCTCCCATCATGACAGCAATATTCCTCACTGCATTGCGCAGTTGTGTGACCACAGCCTTCCATTATGGAATCTGTGTGTGTGTGTGTGTGTGTGTGTGTGTGTGTGTGTGTGTGTGTGTGTGTCTGTGTCTCCCCTCTCTCTTCTCTTCCCTCCTTCCCTTTCTATCTACACATTTCCAGTGCTTCCCAGTGACCAGTCCCCTCTGCGACACTCTCTCTATCCACTTCTTCGCCCCAAGTAAGCTTTCTTCCTGGATTTGCAGTAAACAAATTATCTCAGAACCTTTTTCCCTTCTGTTGAATCTCTCCTCCCGTTTTGACGATTCATCATTTCTTTCCCCACTTGGAAAATGGTCCTGAGCCTCCTTCGTTCCCTTCTTCTTCTACCTCCACTGTAACGTCACTGATGATGTTATAATTCTTACAGGGAAGGTGACACATACAGTGTCTGCCAAAAAGGTGTCCAGTCGCTTCAGGAAAAGAATACTAAGTGTATTTATAATACTAAATGTATTGAGACATCATGAGATTGGTACAAGTTACCCTTGCCCTCTGCAGTTACAAGAGGTGCCCAAAGTGGTGGCGATTTGAGTCCAGACATTTATTATTTTTCTTTTCCTGAAGTGTGTATTCACTTGGGGGCAGACCCTATATTTTTTATACTTTCATGTATCCGTTAAATAATGAATTTAAACTCTTAGAAAATGATTTTCATATCGAAATTAGTTTAAGTAAAACATAACTGGAGACATGTTTAAGAGTCTAAGTCACTCGTTGCAGCCTTTCCTTCCGACCCTAAACACTGTGGCCTCCGACTGGCTGCAGTGGCAACAGCAAACCCAGAGCTTCACCCCAGCGCCCCAGAGGCAGCAGCAGCAGACAGAATCCCTGCCCTCCGAGTGGCAGGGCTTGGCGTCCATTGGCTCTTCTACAAGGACATTTTGACTACATTTAGGACAGGAAATCCACTGCTAAAATAAATGGAATATAAATAATCATGTAGCCAAAATATGAAATATCCTCAAGGTTTAAACAAGAATTCAATGATTTTGAGGGGTTTTTTTTATTAACTTTAAAAAGATTTCCAATCAAAAAATGATAAACCAGGGAGGGAAGAACGTATCTAAGTAATTTCTGTGCTTCACTAAATCCCTGCTTTCTCTTCCCCAGTGGTCTTTAGCTCTGCCCAAAGATACAAAAATAATGCTGATTTATTTCTTCCAGCAGCCATCTCTTCTCTCAAAAAGAACCCATGGTTTCTGGCACACAAACTCCTGAGGCTAACAAAGCCTCCACAGCAGAAAGTGGAAAATGTCAGTGAAAAGTAAGCAGATAATTTGAGAGAGAGGGGGAGAGAAAGAGAGAGGAAAGAAAGAAGGAAGGGAGGGAAGGGAAGGGAAGGAAGCTAGGTGTGGTGGCTCACGCCTGAAATTCTAGCACTTGGGAGGCTGAGGCAAGAGAATCTGTGTGAGTTGCTGGGCTGCATCATGAGTCCACGGCTAGCCTGAATCACATAGTGAGACCTTGTCTCAAAAAACCAAACCAAAAATAAGAATTCTTACAAGGGGACAGAATATGCCCAGTCAAGTTTAGACTCATTTTTCCTCTATCTTGCTCCTAGAATAATGACCAAAGGCAAACTTCAAACCCTCCCCTGTTGTGTTTAGCAGGTGCGTCCTCAGTGTATGGTTTAGGACAGATGTGCACAGACAGCTGTTCGGGAAGTGTCCTTTCAAAGACAGGATCAGTCCTCTCCTGAATGACCAGAGCTCACTTCCCTCCTCCCCAGGACCTGTCTTCCATCCCCCTTCCTATCCCCCCTCCTGTCTCCCTCCCCCCCCTCCTGTCCCCCCTCCCGTGCCCCTTCAGGTCCCTCCTGCCAGCTCCAAGACAGGAACAGAGGCAGCTATTGAGTAGCAGGCGTCAGAGGCCAGAGGAGCAGATCATCCAACAGCCAGGGTGTGCGCCTTCGTAGCATTCTTCCTGAGGCTAACAAAGCCTCCACAGCAGAAAGTGGAAAATGTCAGTGAAAAGTAAGCAGATAATTTGAGAGAGGGGGGGAGAGAAAGAGAGAGGAAAGAAAGAAGGAAGGGAGGGAAGGGAAGCCAGGTGTGGTGGCTCACGCCTGAAATTCTAGCACTTGGGAGGCTGAGGCAAGAGAATCTGTGTGAGTTGCTGGGCTGCATCATGAGACAAAGCCTCCACAGCAGAAAGTGGAAAATGTCAGTGAAAAGTAAGCAGATAATTTGAGAGAGGGGGGGA